CGCACGCCGCCACCCGCGCCCGGCACGCCCCCCGCGCCCCGCGCGCTCCCCACCGACACAGAACCCAGCTCGCAGTCTGACTACAGCCATGTTACATGTGTATGTCACCCATCAGGGAGATGGTGACACACATCACGGAATTATTGATTATTGCTCTCCGCTTTGTCCGCGTAAAATTAAAAATAATAAAAACATCTCCTATGTTACGAGTACTAACTGATGACGTAGCTTTTTAATAGTTACAGAATTTTTCAAATCGGCCTAGTAGTTTTTGAGTTATTTCAATACACACAAAAATACAAATCTTTCCTCTTTATTATATTAAAGTACTCGTATGTATATAATATAGACATGACGGGTATTATTTTTTGCAGTTCATCGTTCAATTTCCTGTTTGGTCTATTTATAAAATGCTCTATCAGCTTCGTCAGTATGTTATATTTAGAATAGCGAAGATAATAATTAGTATCATAAGGAAATAAATGCTTCCGATCGATCAAGGTCGCGTGTATCTAGTACTAGTAGTTATTTTCAAACAGCGAAAAATTGTCGTGATCGCACATTGTGCTGCAGTGTGAATTATATGACTATAGGCATTTACGTGGAGATCCCAGAGGAGTGCGCGGCCGTCTAGGCCCGCGCTGAGCAAAAGCGTACTGGCGGCGCCCACGTCAGCCAATTCCACCGCAGCGGCGGCAAAGCGGTGAGCGAGCAGAGTGCGCTCGCATCTCAGCTCGCCGCGCCGCTCACTCCAGCGGAACACTCGCACGCCGCCATCGCTGCACACGGCACAATATTCATTGTGTGCAACTGAGTGCTTAGATATAATAATAAACAAAAGTATACCATGGACTGTCTCAAATTTACTTTAAAGTCCTTAAAACCAACCTGCATGCGGTGACGAGTAGGTCTTTAAGAGTTACAATGCAGTTTATTGCACCAACGTTTTTCTCTTCCGAAACCCACAGCATCTGCGGCGGCTCGCCCTCGGACCCCCACCCTGCGCCTTCCCTAACGCCTTCATCGACCGGCTCTTCGTCAAACATCGGTTCGATACCCTACGCATCTTTTAAGTACATTAAATGTGATAAGACTTAAATGTTATAGAGGCTCATAGCACATTGCAAGGCAATATCTACGCAAGTGTGCGTGTAGGTCCAATGTGTGTGAAGGAAAGCGCGCGATCGGGTTCATCCTGTTCTCGTATCTCCCCTTTACGTCCTGTCCATATCTGAAATCATGTTCTGCGCAGAATCTTGAGATGCTTCAGAGTTGCAAGCCACCATAATATTTGAATTGCACTGTATTATGTACATTAAATAAATTTGTAATAATATCTACACCTTCAAATCACCGAGGCCGAAGTGCGAAAGCAGAGAGCAGGACGGCGCCACGTCGCCGTCAAGACCGAGCGCGCCCAGCGACCAGGTGCGCACCGTACGGTCGTTGGACCCTGCACACACGCTACTATATTTCCGCCGCCCCCTTGTATTCTCTTTTACTTTGTGAATACTAGATGAACCCGTAATATGACGCAATGCTGCATAATATACAGGGTAACTGTCAGAACATAAGATATTAAAGGAAATGACTCGGTACTTAAATTTAATAAAGATTATGTAATAACTAGCTCTCGCCCAGGTCTTTTTTTCGCGGGGAATTAAAAAATATATAAGTAGCTTACGTATCTACACAAAACAATCCCGCCACCCAACACGCCTCAATCTGAACGCCGTGACATTGCGTTGCTTATTAACTTACTCAGCAGTTAATTAATAAACAATTCCATTTTTCCTTTGCTATATGATCCCAAAATATCTAGTTATAAAAATCAATACAAGTTGATCTTTTACTTCTTTACTTATTTACGAATTACCCGATTCTGTCCGCGTTACCTGTAAGAAAGTAAAGAAAGTCCGGAGGCACAGCGACGCATGTAAGATATCGCGAATGCGCGTGCAGCACGCGAAGGCAAGTAAGGGTCGTACACGCCCACAGGCGCGCCGTGCTGTCAAGCGAGGCGCTGACCAGGAGCCGCGTGCCGCGCGCCCACGCCAGCGCCGTGACCGCGGCCGCGTGCCCGCACAGCACGCCGCCAGCCCGTGCCCTCAGGCCGCTCGACGCATCGCGTGCACGCCACAGACGCACGCGCGCGTCGTGCCCGCCCGAAGCCGCCGCGCGCCCGCACGCGCTGGCCGTCGCGCACAGCGCGCCGAGGTCGTGCGCGCCGTCCTCCCAGAGCAGCGCCGACGGCTCGTGTCCCGTCGCACCGCACGCGTACACTTCTGATGAGCGGTCGCCTTATTCTTTACTCACATCTTAGTTTTAGACAGACGTTTTTTGTGCGTGTTAGGAGCACTTTCCGCGTTTTTCTATTCTACAGTTCTTTACATACGATTTAATGAGTATCGGAGTTCGTTCGCGAATCAGTGGTAGTATATTGTACACGTTTTTGCCGGACATCCTGTGTGTTATTACCGTTAAGGTCGAAGAATTTGAGTGTGCCAGTGGTGCAGGCGACGAGCAGCAGAGCGGCGGAGGGCAATGCAGCGAGTGCGTGCAGCGAACCCTCGCACGGTCTCAGCCGCGCCAGTAGCGTGCCCCGACGCGGTGACCACACGCACAGTGCGCCATCATCGTGCCCGACGAGCAGCCGCACGCCGGACCAGCACAGCGAGCGCGCTGCGGTCGCTCCCGGCGCCGCCAGCATGCGCCTTTGCCTCAGCTCTCTGGTCCATATTCTCGCGGCGCCGTCGACACCCGCGGAGGCGAGGAGCGCACCGCTGGGCGTCCAGCGTGCCGCCGTCACGCCAAACCGATGTGCGCCCGGGGCTCCGGCCGCCTCCAGCCAGCCGGCGCTGCGCCGCCAGCGCCACAGCCGCAGCGCGCCTTCGCCGCCGCCCGTTGCCAACAGTGCGCCGCTTACGTCCGCACACACGACTTCGCCTCTGTGCGCGCGGAACGTATGCACCACATGAGGGTTGAGAATTTCTTCATGCATCGTTCTCTCTGCAGATACGACATACATGTACACAAATCTCGCCTTCTGCTGGATTTAAATTATATGGAGTTCTATAAAAAAAATTTAACATAAATACTTACTGTAGAACAGCTGAGCTAGGCGTATTGTGTCCAAAGGCGCCGCGCGACGATTGTCGTGACCTGCGCTGACGTGGCCGCCCCGCGATACCACACGTCATACCTTGTCACATCAGCGGCCCCGCACTTGCGCTGTCATAAGGATAGAATAATTAAATAGCACACGTTAATCTATATTATACTTCTATACTTAAACTTATACTAATATTATAAAGAGGAAAACTTTGTATTTTTGTATGTATTGAAATAACTCAAAAACTACTGGGCCGATTTTAAAAATTCTTTCACCATCAGAAAGGTAATTTCTCTGTGAATAACATAAGCTATATTATATTATTACTAATGTTTAGGAAGTATTAATAAACAGCGTGTTTCTGGACGCCGGCGTTAAAAATTCACTAAACTATAACTTTTCTTGGCTTACGCAGCCTAAACCGTTAGGGGTATATAAAAATGATGTATAAAAGAATTGCAGATCTCAAAAAGTTCTACAGAAATGTCTGCTTCTTCTTCCGAAATCTATCTTTAACGGTTTTCTTACAATAACTACTTTTTTGTTTACAAAATAAATTAAAAACCTCACACTATTTGCAGCGTTCTTTTATTGGTTTCAGTATTAATCCTTATCCAAATAAATGCCTCTGTTATCAGGAGAATTTAGTGTAGAATAAAATTGTCCTTTGCAGTATTGAAATTGGACTAATAGTTTAGAAGATATCGCGAACACAAACAATAAGGGTAACCGAAAAATCAGCTTACAAGCTACCGGGCTTAGAAATTTGGAATCTTGCATCGGTAGATTTCTGTTAGATTACTACTAAGTTAACACTTTTGGTAAAAGGTTGAAAAAAGGGAGAGAATTAATAGGTTATATTTGTAATTTCACTTTCAAGTTTCATTTATCGAGAGAGAGAATTTCGAGTTTTGACTTTCGAGTTTTCGATAAGCGATATGCGTTATGCGCTATGCGCTATGCACTATGCGCTATGCGCTATGCGCTATTTGCATAACGCGATATGCGATTTTTGAGTTTCGACTTTCGAGTTTTCAATAAGCGATATGAGCTATGCGCTATGCGCTATTTGCATAGCGCGATACGCGATTTTCGAGTTTTCGATAAGCGATATGCGTTATGCGCTATGAGCTATGAACTATGCGCTATGCGCTATGCGCTATGCACTATACGCTATGCGCTATGCACTATACGCTATGCGCTATGCACTATGCGTAATGCGCTATGTGCATAACGCGATATGCGATTTTCGATTTTCGTGTTTCGAGTTTTCGATAAGCGTTGCGCGATATACGCTATGCGCTATGCGCTATGCAATACGCGCTATGCGCTATGTGCGTAACGCGATATGCGATTTTCGATTTTCGTGTTTCGAGTTTTCGATAAGCGATACGCGTTATGCGCTATGCGCTATGCACTACGCGCTATGAGCTATGCGCTATGTGCATAACGCGATATGCGATTTCTTATTTTCGAGTTTCGAGTTTTCGATAAGCGATACGCGTTATGCGCTATGCGCTATGCGCTTTGCACTATGCGCTTTGCACT